TCGAAGACAACGCGGCGACAATATAGGCTCGATAGTTGTTACCCTACTGTAAATATCCTGCTCGAACTGGATGTAATTAGTTTATACACCGTGTATGATGAGGCAATTGGGATCAGGGATTCTCGACGACGGCGATATCGCGTTAATAATAGTTGCCAATTGAATCACTAACGACGTTACGCTCGAACCTGCTCAGATTAGTATGAAATTAGCGCAGTTCACGGTGTGTCGACGATCGCACGGATCGAAAAGTTGGACGATGTTTCCTTCCAAGTTGGTGTAGTTGTTTTAAACTTGGTATAACGCGGTTCGATTAGAATCAGGAATTCTCGGTTAGGATAGGGACGAAGCGGTTGACAATTGCTCGGTACTAAAAGTTGGACGATGCTTTGCTGGAAGTAGTTGCAGTTGTTTTAAACTTGGCGTGACATGGTTGGATTGGGATCAGGCATTCCCTAACGAAAACGTGTTTGCGGTCTTGTGTCGATAAAAGTTAGCCCAACGTTGTTGTTGTTTTCCTCCAACCTGATACTGTTTTAATTTAGCTGGGTGTGTAGCATGTTTAGATTCGGATTAGAAATCTTTTATTCTGACAAAGACAACGTGTATGGAATTTAGAGTGGATTAGAGTTGACCAATTGCTGCTGATGTTTTACTCCAGCCTGTTACTATGTAGTTTAAGTTTGGATATACCATTATATGAAACCGGAAATTTTTTTACTCTAACAAAGACAACGTGTCTACAATCCAGAGTGAATCAGAATTGATCAACTACTGTCGATGTCTAGGTTCGCTATACGTAGTCGAAAATTGGTGAGGTCTGCAACTCGATACGATCGGAATCAGGGATTCTTGACTCTAACAATGGCGACGTGATCGCAATCTTGTGTCGGTATGAGTTAGCCAACTGCTGTTGTTGTTTGGCTCCAGTCTGCTGTAGCTAATCCAAAATCGATGCAGTCTATAGCATTGTACGACTGGTATCAGGGATTCTCTGTTGAAACGAAGGCGGCGCGATCGCAATCTTGTGTCAATAAAACTTACGCAACTGCTGTTAATATTTTGCTTCATCTCTAGCCCAAAATCAGGGATTCAGACAACATGATCTCGTGCCAATAAAAGTTGGCCGACCGTGCATCGCTGTCAATGTTTTGCTCGACTTTGCCCTCGCCAAAATCGTGTTATCACTGCAACGTCCTCGTCCCATGATTTAATTTTCATTACGACCGTTTCCTTTTATTTCTCTCTTTTAAATATCAAAACTCAGCATTTACTTGGACACATTTATTCAATTACCGTGAAACGTAATACTTCATCATTCAAATTATAAATAAAAGGTTCAGTGTCGGTGCATCTCATTTAAAAGTATCTTTAATGAGAAATAATGGTCCTCGATAGAAGAAAAGACGTTTCATCCTGGGTTGCTAATGGACTCTTCAGTACGGCTGCAACAGCCTACTCCTTTAAACGCAATTATGTGCTTTCAAAATGGACTCCCAGACGATATTTAAAAACGTATCTAAAAGAGAGAAATGTCCAGTTGCTGGACGAATTTTACATTCATTACTCGAAGCCCTGCGTGGCCCAACTTTGATCGGTCAAACTACAAGTTTTATCCAACAAACGTTGCTTATTTTTCAAAATATATTTTAAATAAATAGTATTTTCCTCCAATTTACCACAAATTGAAAGCTAGTCATCGCACGTCATATTAATTCCAAGAGTGAAAAGGAGACCGAGAAACTTTATTTTATGTTCGGCATGATGTGTTTCGTATTTCATATTTTAGGGTTTATCCGCTGTTTATCTTTCGCTCGTTGATTGAGATTTTTATCTGGCGGGGGATTTCGTTCTATCTCTGCTGGAAACGGGTTCGGAGAGAAAGGAGGCCGGCGTTGATTCTCGTCCGGTGTCGTCGTTCGGTAACGAGCATTAAATTATCGATCGGAGTGCGATATACATCTCGTGCATCGGCGAACTGGAGGATATTTCCACGCAGTCCGAGATATCACGAAGCTCCGAGCGTTCGATCGACGAACGCCGTTGCACGCGAAACTTCTTTTGGCGCCTTCCACATTTTCCTCACGCGTTCGATTCGAGTTGCATCCGCCGTTGATCACGTGCCAGGCGCCCCGTGCTCGCGTGCACGCTTCTCCCAGAGGCGAGGAAGAACAAATGGGCGAAATTTCGATAATAGTTACGAATTTATAGACTTTTAATATCTTGCCGCAATCTGCTACAGCTGCTATCGCTAGTGTTGAAGCTTTGTGTAAGTTTATAGTACAATGATTTAATTTGTGGTACAAAGTTCGTTATGTTAAAAACCGTGTTATTTATTGAATTTTCTAAGAACTCTAAGAATAGAAATTAACACTGTTTCAAGCGCAACTCAGGTGCAAAAACAATATTCTAATAATAACGCTACTACCACCTACGCATTCGATTTAATTTCCCAGACCCCCGCAAGTCATCAATTCCCCCCATTCATGCGTACCAAAACCCCCATACCCTCTTACTCCCCGATAACTCAGTTTCGCGTTGTAGACGCAGCCTAGAAGTTCGATCTCCTCGAAGTCTACGATCGTCCCAAATGAAGTGACCAAAGAGCCTCGACGCAAGAGCGACCAAAATTCGCGAATCGAGCAAGATGAAGCCTACGCGTACGGGAATCGTGAAGGCAGGGATCGATGAGCCAGGCAGTGTTGGTGTCGGGAGGATCGATTAGTCAGTCGAAAGGATCCAGATGCCAGTTATCGCGTCGCGCTTCTTCGAAGACGGTTCAGGGTTGTACCAGGTTGCTCTGCATTCGAGTTTCGAGTCGAGTCACGGTGCGAAGAGTGCCGCTTCTCGAGGATAAAACGTGGAGTAGGACAGGGGAGTAAACGAAACAACGAATCGTGGAATCGTCGAGCCCAACAGGGCCGAGGGGAGGCGGCACGAGGTAAGGCGAGCAAAGGCAACCACGAGGATTGAATAAAAGAGCCTCGTGACGGAGGGGCTTCGTACGGCCCTGGCGCGACTGCGGCACTGCACCCCCACGGGGGGTTCTCTGCCAAACACACCGAATCCGCCCTCCACCCCGGAACACAAGAAACACGTGAGTATTTATTGGCCACAGTGTAGGTCCTACACTGTAGGATGACAGTGGCGAGGCAGACTTAACGAATCGCCGCGGTACAAGTTGCACGGCTACGCTTGATACGATCGTTTCGAGGATAATTGCAAGCCGTGTGGGTGGCGTTGATGGCAGGTTCAATGAACCGTAGATTGGAACGCGTACGCCGTTCAACGACCGCCTGGATGGGATACTCTGTGGTATTTGAAATTTGAAACCAAAGTAGACGCGTTTCGAGGGCTATAAGACGCAGGATGGAGTGTCTGATACTTTAGAAAGAGATTACTTAAGCTTTCGTACTGGTAGTCTAAGCTAAAAAGGTCTATCTTGCTTCGTTGTTGATTTTTGTATCGATTTACCATGAAGCTGGAACTGGTGCCTGTTCTTAGAACGAAATAAACATTCTTAATCATTAGCCTGCGAATCTACAAAAATTGAATCTGGACAGGAATTTATTTTACTCTGCAAATGTTACATTAGTTACTTCGGTTTGAATAATTTTGTATATTATTGCAAAATGGATGCATTTCGTAGTTGATTACACATTTAAATTTTCTATAAATGCATAAAAATCCGCAGTCTATCAATCATAAAGGATGTTTGCTAACGTTACGTTCCTATGTAGTATAAAAATGAAAAGAAAAGGGGCGATTTAGACGCGGAAATTCACGTGTCGCCTAATGACACCCTCGAAGCCGTGCAACTTTCGTATGCAACAATTCTTCGTACAATGCATAATTTGCAGACGATTCAAGGTTAGCGTGTCAAGTGCCCCACCGTGTGCCACTTTAATCTGCAAATGCATATATCACTGTGTTGAATTTTTAAAAACCGATATTGCAACTTCGTTGCGTCGCCTCGTCGTGTAATGAAAGTTACGTTTGCGGTCCCTTGGGTCATTCCATAATAAATCGACTACCTCTTGCGCTTGATGTCAAAGAATTCTGTTAAAAAAAAATTGATCTATCTCTCGTTTGCAATTTAAGAAATTCAAGCTTGAATTAAGCTACCAAACTCCTCCAATTTTACTAAGACATTATTTTGTTCTTCCTTCCTTTAATTAGAAAGACACTTATGTCTAATAAACATGCTTTGATCTCGATAGTTTTAACGTTAATACACAGGTTGTCGATAAGACTGTTTTGGAAGTGCAAATAAAACAATTGAAATGATTACGAGGGACATCGTTTACGTTCGTAGACTCGATTCGAATAATTTAAGTAGTATGGTAGCGATATAGTCAGCCGAGCGCGTGGTTTTGTCAGCCACAACGAGGCGCACTATGACAGCTCATTATAACAGCTCATTATGATGTCAATTAAAGCATGCCCCACCTCGAAAACAACCTCATTTTCTAAAAGGAGCTTCACAGAATACTCTCGTGCTCTTTTCAAATTAGAAAAATGTTCTCGCTTGAAATGGATAAAAATATCAAAAGTAAGCGTTTGTGTGGGGAATCGCCGCCCTGAAAGAAACTTCAATCAGACAAATCCTTTCAAATAAAAACGAGAAACCAATTCATCGAGGAGAGACTTTAGTCTTCAACAGTGTTGAGGACACCATCTGTTGAGTTGGAGTTTAACTTGAAATAATAGATAACGTAATAAACAAAAATTCACTTGGCGCCCTGTAACTTCTAAACAAACTCGAATTCATCAAAATGATGATTTAAACCCACCCTAATATTCCATCAATCACACCATACTGGAATTTCATAAAAATCCCTGCCTTCGAGTACAGAGAACAATCGATTTATCGTGGAATGAGTCCCCCGTAAACAGAGTTGGGCGTTGCTCGAAAAGAGATTTCCCCAGGTCTGTCTACGAGAGAAAAAGCGAGGGCTGCGAGGAAGTATTTGAAAGGAAAATACGATTCGTCGAACAGGGATGTCTGGATGGTCGCGGCTCGAGCCGTAGAAACGGCGGCAGCTCGCGGGGGAATGGGACCGATTCGGCGGCGGCGGCCGAGCCGCAGTCGCAGCCACAGTCGCAGTCGCAGCCGCAGGCATCGCGCGGAAACAGCTCGACTCATCGCCACAATGGCACCGAGAACTCGCGCGACACCGATTTGCTGTCGCACGCGGCCTCGGCATTGCGAAGGCTGCACTTCAAATCGGCTGGCGGCAGTCGGAGTTGTCGCACCGTGCCGAAGGTCGTGGTCATGGGATCGAGCACCGCCTCCGAAACCACGATCAACACCAGCACGGACAGCGCCAACACGATGCTCACCATGGTAAGCTTGTTTGCGAAAATTGAACAAAATCGACGACCAGACTGGAGAATGTTTATGCAAATATTTTCGCAGATAAAAGAAAAGAAGTGGCGAAACTTAAATGAAAGCATGTCTTACCTGTAACATGTGTATCATTGTTGATATTGTATATATTTTTGCTAGAAATGCATAAACATCTGCAGTCTATTGACGACGTTAGAAGAGTCTCCAGGGTACAGTAATTCCTGCGACAGCAGGCTATTACTCTTGGGTCAGTAAGTCCCAGGATGTAAAGAACCTAATGATCCGCCACCTCAACGACCACTTTTAAAGTCACGCTCAATTTCGCCACATAAACAGACCTGGGAAAGAATCAGACTCTTCTTCCAACCCTTCAAATCTCTGCTCTAAGAGCCCAAGAGTACACTCGAATTTTTCCAGACCGTTTACAACGCCGTAACACTTGGAAGACCTTAACTAAGACATAAACGACCCAGTGCGTTGGCGGCGGGTTAACTATTACTACGTCGAATACGTCATTGGATTGCTCTCCTCCCTACTCATCCCTAGCTATCGATACGGTTCCATTCGAAAGACACTTGAACTGATCCCAGGTGACGACCACGGACGGAGAGCAGCCAGACGACAGTTTCGACCTGGTGGACATCCCCTCGGAGATGTCACCGCCTGCTCCACTGTCGGCAGCTCCGCCGCCCGAGCCAGCTCCACCGCCACCGCCACCGCCTCCACCACCGCCCCCGCCACCCTCGCCGCCCATCGCCGATTACACGACCGCGGACGAGAAGGGTGCCAAAACGAGCCCGTTAACATCCACCACCGTGCGAACGGAGATCACTGCCCGTCTCGATGTCCGGGCGTCGAGTACCTCGAACCTCCTCGACGAGACCGACGCTCCATCGGTCGATGCCACGATGCTCACTGCCACTGGTCCCACCTGCGAGACCAGGGTGTCCGTTTCTGGCAGGACTCCCCCTCTACCGGACCTACGAGCCTCCGACTTTTTTAGGTTCGTATGCTCATTCAATTGGGGGAAGGAAGGAGGATCCTTTGACACTGGTTGTTGGGAGGATCTAGAAGCATTGGAGTCTGCAATTTTTTAAGTGGGGGATGATTAAACAGTTGTATCCTTTCCTCGAGGCTACTGGTAGACATCATGATTACTCATGAGTACTTTTATCCTTTGACACTGGTTGCTGGGAGGATCTAGAAGCCTTGGAGCCTGCAACTTTTTAAGTAGGGGGTGGTTGAACAGTTGTATCCTTTCCGCAAGGCTACTGGTACACATCATGATTACTTATGAGTACTTTTATCCTTTGGCACTGGTTCTTGGGAGGATCTAGAAGCCTTGGAACCTGCAACCTCTTAGGTGGGAGGTGGTTGAACAGTGTTATCCTTTCCTCAATGCTACTGGTGGGCATTATGGTTGTAATGAATTTATGGAGGAGTGACTTTGGTCTCCAATCGGTGTTAAGGACGTTTTCTCTTGAGTTGGAGTTCAATACACCACTCAAGCTTGAATATAGATTCTCCAGATCAATAGATGCTTCCTGAATAAACCCTAGGTTTCATGCCAAACTTCCCCAATGAGAGGGGGTACTATACTTAGACTGTACACACATACTTTAGACAAGATAAAACTGATATCATTTAGAGACTCTTCAAAGCTTGAAAATTCTCCACGCTACCACCTAAAATGAAACCTCCCCCACTTGAATAAATACTTTAAACAGAAACTTACCAACACTTCCAACTACCACACCCCTATCTATCCTAGAAATTAACATCCCAAACCACATCGGATGAAACCTCTCCTACTTGAATAAATACTTTAAACAGAAACCTATCAACACTTCCAACAACCACTCCCCTAGCCATCCTATAAATTATCACCCCAAGCCTCCTAACCGTCCTACTTCTGCTCCACTCCTGCAGTACACCGGTGAGGGGTTCGGTGGACGCTGGTCAGCCAGATCCGGACCACGTGAACTCGATGCTGTCGCTGATAGCCGATAAGGCCCAGGACAGCAACGGTCGGCAGTGCAACGCGTCGTCCAGCGAGGGCAAACACGGGCAGAAGAGGCCAAACGTGAACGTCACGACGAATCCGTTGGACATATCGTTGATAGGAGCGTGCGCAAGCAACGAGCGATCGTCCGATGGTCCAGGTAGGACCGGCGGTAGCAAGCTTCGAGGAAGAGCAGCCGCCGGTGAGTCGACTAGATCGTGCCTAATGCTACCGATTAATCGACACATTAGCGAGAACGCGTTATCTCAACGCCGTGTCTCGATTAGTATCGTCCTATCCGCGAGGTGAAACGCGGGGCGAACCGAGTGGTAGATGAGCGTGTCGAAAGTCGATGGACGTTGTTTTCGCTAAGAAAATCAATTGTTGTTGTTGTTTTTCTTTCAGAATCTCATCCCCTCGTTTCGACCATTCATTCATGGGTCAGGCTCTTTTTCCCGTTTTGCGCAATAGGTATACAGTTGGTTGTGCTCGAGTTTACGCTTCGAGACGTTTCACGAAAACGAGAGATCGCTGGATGGAACACGATTAACGAACGCCCGTAATCTCCGCTGGGGTGCACTCGAATCGATTACACTCGTTTACATGTATCCGGAGAAGATATCGATTCACTTTCCGGGACGTCGAGCTTGTTTTACCTTGGACTGGGACAGAAGTTCACGTGGAACGTCTCGGAGGATAGAGTAACAGTGGTAGGGCCACTCTTTCTTGTGCGCGGGGACGAGATACAGGCACATAAACGGGAGTTACCGTGCCCCTGAAGCCTTGTATCGTTTAATACAGTTTCATTTTCGGGTAGTAGGTGTGGAATAAGAAATATCAGTAAAATAATTCGTAATTCACATATTATCAATATTGGAGTATGGGTAGAGAACTTTTTGCTTCACTCGAACAAGGCTAAACGGGACTTAGTAGGATGAGATTCAATTAGACGAAAAAATATAAACACCGATGCCCTTTAATCGCAAGTGCACCCCATCCAAAGGTGAAAACGGTGAAAGAGACATCGTCGAGCGTCGTTCCGTTCGGATCCAACACGTCCCAACGACGAGGAGCTCGACGATTCCAGCGATCTCTCGGTTCGTGGCGATCTTGTCCGTGGACAAGACGAGGGACGCACTTGGCGATTACATATTCGTTTCCGCTCCTTGGCTATACACCTTGAATGCATATTCACTCGAACGCTTGCGTGTCGAGTTGTTTAGCGTTTTACGTTCGATTCACCGCATCAACTCGACGCTCTCGATTTCTCGTTTTTTTCTTACGTTCATTGCTTACTCTTGCGAACTGCGAGTCACGTGGCTCTCTCTCCTCGATCGCGACCTGGACGGGCGATCGATCCTCCGTTCGTCGTTCGCTAAATTCCACGTCAGCCCATCGACGACATTTTATGCACCGTCTCGTGGCATTTCGCGACCCTTCTCGCTACGTTCGTGCGAGCCATACCGGAACAGACGGCGATCGATAATCGTTAACCACGGGAAACGGAAAACCGGAAACCGGAACACGTTGACGAGAACTGTTCGACGGGGAATCCCTCGAGGAGAGGAGAGCCATCAATTATCGGCCACTCGACCCTCTCGTTGCATCGTTCTGTTATTGTCGAAAATCGACAAGTTGGTGCCCCTGTTTCAGTCCCAGACAGCGCATGCTTTCTGCCGATTTCGCCGTTAGTAAATGTAACGTAGTTGATTGCGCTTCGTTTGCCACCGCAGGTTCCGCCGAATTGCCGCCCACCTTTCTTTCCGGCGCTAACGTCAACGTTTCGCGCCGCGAACTAATTTCTTTTCGCTTCCAAACACGGACGAGTATCGCGATTTCGCGGACTGCTGGCCCACTTGGGAAAGGAAGGGAAACGGTGAGGCGAGGGAAAGTGAACGCGACGCGAAAGAGGAAACGAAGCTTCGGGTGGTCGAAATTTCATAGCGTCATTATTAATTGCTCAGCCATTTTGAATCATGTGGAATCAGGGGCGGCAATTCTGCTTGGAAAGACGCACGCGTATTCTGTATCCGACGCTTAGCACTTTGCGGAAAAGACTCTCCTGGCATCGTACGTTTCTCAGTAGAGTCTCAATAATTTCATCGCCCCAACCCTTTCGTGACTGACCCAACCAAGGGAGGAAAGCAACCGAAAGCACATGTGCTCGAACCTTGGCGAACGCTGATACCTTCGGTTTGCTTGGCCCAAAGGGTTGAACTTGGAAAACATAGATTTGCTAACGAACGAGCAACACCAAACTAAAATTTATCAGGATGAGAAAGACTAAGGAAAAAAAAACAAAAAGTGATAAAGTTATATGAATGTCAAAGTCTGAAAGGAAGAGACAGGCGCGAGACATGGCGCGTGGGTGTGGGAGAAAGGTGTAAAGGAAACGTAGAACGCGTGAAAGCGCTCGCGATGTCCGGTGCTCGGAGGTCTTTTGGTAATTCGCAAAAACTGCGCCACAGGCGACATCGAGGAACGAAGGTAACAGGTGTGTTTTGCTTTTTTTAATACCAAAAAAGGTGGCAACGCGACTGGGAACAAGAGATCCACGCAAGCAGCGACGATCGTGGTCCAACAACCGTCCCTCTCGTTGGACGGATCGGCTGGGGCCGCGACGATACTCTTGCATCCTGAGGTGGACGTCAGACGACGAGAGGAGAACATGAGACAGTTACTGGACGTCGCGAACACGCTTACGTTACAGGAGATACACGACTTCGAGATGAGGTTAGTCACTTTCAATCATAGTTTTAACTTTGTTGATCCTTGGAGCCGACCTAGCTGCAACCAAACGATAGTTGAACGTTTGGACCAGTATTTGGTTCATTCCTGAAGAGACTAAATATGGAAACGTTAAGTGTATTGTATCATCAGAGCTGAGTTTGTTCACACGAACAGATATGTAAATTTTACTCTGTCCCAAGAAGAGAAGCATAGCTCAACAAGGTAACCAGCCCTACTTAAGTTGAGGAACCCTCTTCCACCACAGCACTTTTCAAAGCAACAAGTGTTGCCTGCATTCCCCTCCTCAGGGAACCTAAAAGAAAATTTTCAGAGTCAATCTTCTCACTTACCAACCCTTAAATGATCTCAAATGGTCTCAACCCTAGTATCCACTTCTCCATATTCCTCATTACTTTCAGAACCAAGTAAATCTGATCACCAACCAAGAACAGATCCTCGAGCATTCAAGTTACTATCGAGAGGTCTCCCAAGTCGATCCCTTCGCCTGCCACCCCTAAACTTGATAGCCTCGCCCCTATCGCGTCCTCCTCGACGCCCAGACCACTCCACCGAGTATCTTATTAAACTCGTCGAGCCTACACACCCTCCGCCCCTCGTTTTCGTAACGATGGACCAACGAAACAACGATGCAACGCTGGCTCTTCTGTCGCAGATACGGTAGTCCGCATCACAGCAGATCGCAGTCGGTTAAGACGCCCGGCAGTCGTTCGTCGGGCAGACCAAATTACCTGTGTCTTCCGCAACAGAGATCGCGAGTGGCGAGTATGCCGAACACCGGCGTCGAGGAGGAGTACTACAGGCTCCGACACTTCAGCATAACCGGCAAGGGGGTGGTGAACCGAGGGGACTCCCTGAAGAGCCGGAGATCGCGATCGAACAACAGCGTCGCGTCGAGCAACTCGAGGTGAGACTTTTCTACCCTCGATAGCCCTCATTTGAGATTATTGACAGGAGTAAAGGAAACTGGGATATCGGCCAAGGACAGTCGTAACAGAGTGATTAATTATCCGCTCGATTCTACTCTAAATCGAACGCGTGAGTTTACGTGTGGCATAAAGCGTTTGAGCGACGTAGACACACGTGTTGGACCTTAGAGGAGGACCCATGGCGCGACGTCGAAAACCCAGCACAAGGGGTCGAATACGTTACCCGAACCGTCATCGTCGAGGTGTCGATCCGCGTATCGAGGCGTATATTCGAAACAGCAGCGATGGCCGAACACGAAAAACGGAGAAAACGGGACGAAAATGAGACACCGCGGTAATTCGATGCGGCGACGTTTCCGTGTTTTACGAGCTCGTGATATTTTCATTGCCCACCGGCGGCGTCTACGTTGCATACTTCTTTCTTTCTATTTTCTTTCGTCCTTTTGTCGCTCTCTTTCGGCGTGGCTACCAACGGCGGTGCAGCACGGAACACCTCACGGCTTCCTATCCTGGCTCGGCGAGGAACTCGGCAGCTGGCTCGTTGGCGAGCTCACGCGAGAGCAGCGCGTCTCAGGGACCAACGCCGTATCGTGTTCTCATGCTGGGAGCACCCGCCGTGGGCAAGAGCTCGCTGGTCTCGCAGTTCATGACCTCGGAGTACCTGCACGCTTACGACACTTCGATCGGTAAGTGTCGTCTCCGATGTCGTTCGCGATGGGACTGACAAGGTTGATCGTTTAACACGTTCGTTGAAACGTCACGATGAAACTTTATTTATCACTTTTCTTTTAAAACTCACTACTTCGTCATCGCTACTTTCCTCACTTTCAATTCTACTTTTACGTCGTCCAGTGAACATTTTCAGGATAAACAAATTTCACTGATGTGCGTCTGAGAAAAAGTATGCTTCTTGATTGAATCATCTGGAATAATTGCAATGAGATATCTCGCAGATCTGTATCTTGCAGCTTATCGCTTTTCTCATTCAAGAATTAAACTTCGTATTCTTTATTTATTTATAATGAAAAGGAACGGGCCTACTCGAGTTGCACCACTGCTTATACCGGCGCTTATTTCTTTATTTCCTTTCTGGCGCGCCGACAGTCCGATTTGGGCCCCACAGGAAACTCGACCGAATCGCGCTGAACAGCGAACGTGTTAAATGAAACACCCTAAATATCCTTGATGTTATCGACAGCATAAGACGTTTCCTCGTTATGTGATTGTATCAGTCCCATCGCAGTGTCGAGACAAGTGGAATGGAATTCCTCTTCCTCGGATCGCAAGTCCAGTCCCCAGAGACGTTCAAAATCCAACGATTAAAAATAGACGATTCGTTGCAACTGTAGGTGCATCGAGACGCGAACCTAATTTGTTTCATTTCGCAGTAATGAATTCAAAGCGGATTCTTCGGTTTCTATTTCAATCATTTGTTTCGAACTAGTTTTCAATGACAAGATCTCTCACTACTATCCGGCAGCATGACACAAGAAATCGCAACTGAGAGCGTCGAAAACGGTCGATGAATAAGTTAACCCGACCCTTTTCGACCCTCCTAACGGGCTTCCAACCGTTGAGAAGATCAACCAGTCAGATCCACGGTAAAGAAAAAAAAAATAGTGACGAGGCTACCTCTGCGGTGGTATAAGATCAATTTTAGCGACGGGTAGTACTGTATCCTCTCAAAACATACCCTTTTCACCCCTTTAATCCCCCCCCCCCTACCCCCAGAGTGAAACGCGTTAAATCCACATCTGAATCTTTGGGTGCAAGGTGTACATCCGATTATCGTGTTTCCGAGCGAATTCTTTGCCTCTGGGTACTGCGTTTTATATTTTTGGATCTACGCGACCCTCGGGTTCTTCCTTTGCAGACGACGACTCCGGGGAGAAGACTGTCAGCGTGCTCTTGGCCGGAGAAGAATCCGAACTGACCTTTATCGATCATTCCTGCGCCGAGATGACGGTAAGTTGTAAGTCGCGCGTAATTGAAGCGCGCCCGTGGCTAATCCACAGAGAATGATCGACGATCGCGATAGCCTCGGGTGTCCTATGACCCATCGGTCCTACCAGCTCGCCTTCGTGGGCGTTCCCTTCATTGGAATTCTATCAGGTTCAACGGTTCCCTGGTTCGGGAAAAATCTTCTCTGTACACGATACGATCGATAGAGGAGTCTCCGTTCATTATGAAAGTGGCGTAAGCCCATTTGTCTTTGTTCCCAGATATAGAAGGCTTTGCATTCCTATCGGATGAAAAATTGCGAGCGCCGACTGGCTCTCGTTGGTATGCCATCAGTGATCGCTGATAAGTAAATTTATCAGGTGTTCGAGGAATGCAGACGTTATTGCGGATCGAGGATGAATTATGCGTTTAATTTGTTACTGCAAGGTCTTCTTCAGAAATAAATGTGGATGGTCCTTACAATTTTTTAAATATTCTAGATATCGTGTATTCGAGCTAGAATTTTTCTTAAAAAGGAACATTAAGCCTAAATGATCTAGCGATATTTGGACAAATGTATGTTTCTATGACTTACACTGCTTTCATGATTATCAAACTTCAAAAGTTCCCTCCGATACCCAATTTAGATGGAGCACGTCATCTTGCGTGATTCCTTGCAGACCTTAGAGCAGTCCAGGCTTCGTATTAACAGCTCTATAAAATATTTCCGATATGTTACCATCACCCGACCTGCTCGATCCATTTTGATCGACCCAAGAATGTATGCCAACGCACAGAAAATCGTGAAACCCATGCCCTTCTCGGTCTGCTCGGTCAGATTGCAAATATCGTTAAAAAAAAAAAACAAGCATGCCCTGTCTGAATTGGGGTTCGGATAAACGCGTACGTATCTCGTTATGTCCCACGAACGAGGAAATTCGGTCAACAGTGTCGGTTGCGGCCTGTATACGTTCGCGAAACGCGTTCGGCGGTATGTATCAATTTCGTCCAGAAGTTGGAATAATTGGAATAACTAGCGATAACGTAGAAGGCAGAATAGGGGAGCAATGCGGTCGATCGCGCAGCATTAATCGGTTAGCGGCAAGCGCGTTAGCCTGGGCTCGGCGAGCCATCGCGAGTGGCGATTGACGAGCATCGAGCCATAACGTCCGGTCAACCATAAAAGCGGCCCGATGATCGATCAATCCGTGTAGCCTCCAGTCGATGAGATTGACTATTCCGTCAAATCCAGCGTACACGACCTAGCCGATGGAGCAAACTGAATTTTCACTGAGGACCCACTTACTCGACACTTTTGTTTTCGATGGAATCACGTTTGAGTTATGGAGTATGAACAATTGAAGATTGTATCGGAAACGGAGGATGCATATGAAAGAGAAATTTTAGTGTCAGGGCTGAGATGGACCATTGGAATTGGTACCAGCTCGTGGATAAATTCTAACCCTTAACGATTTTTACTGATAAAGACGTTTCGTCATTCACCTTCTCACTACTTGTAATTATATAATATTTATATTTTTCATGTTGCCTGTATCGGGGCTGCTAGTTTTGATGTTCGTGGCCAGTGTAAACGAGACGATTGTAGTCGGATAGCGTGGTAAAAATCTGCCTCGAAACTCGTAATTTCAATGCAGGTAGCGGAAAAATAATTTTTCAGTAAACTGATGATTCCATGCATCTGCCAAATCTTCAAGAACAACCTTCCCTATCCCCCCCTTATAACCTCATCGTCCACGACTAGGGCGATCCACGTGTAAAATTTGTTGGATCCACCTAGTTCTCGACCTGGTTGCGATCATTTGGCTGAATTGGGGTTTCGTTTCTTTTTTCCAGCCAGAAACTTGCATAGCGACGTACGAACCGCACGCGTACTGTGTCGTCTACTCGACGACCGATCGAACGTCGGTATGTGTAGCCGAAGAGGTTCTGCAAACTCTTTGGTGCAGCGATCACGTATCGGCTCGAGCGGTAATCCTTGTTGGAAACAAAGTCGACCTCGTTCGCAGTCGATTGGTTTCGACCGCAGGTAAGAGGCCGAGTCCCCTGCCCTCGCGGATAAATCCGTGCAGCAGCCTTGAAGCTGATATACGCGAAATACGCGAATCATCGCGTGCGTTCGTTTCGTGCCGAGCATTATCACGCCCTTTCGTTTCATCGGGCTTTACCTCGGTTTCGTATCGAGGCGCATAACGTATAAAACGTCGTATCTCGATCAGATGTTCGCGTGTATCAACCGACAGAGCGTTTTGTCGAGATGGTTTAAAAAGAAAAAAAAGGAGAGAAAAAGAATTCCTTCGCTGTTGTACGTAGGCGAGATAACTCGAAAGCGAGCTATAATTTCATCGATAGCATCGGCCAACAGGGAAACGGCGTGTAACTGTTTAATTATTCAACGTTTCGGTCCGCAAAGTTGCGTGACCTTCGGGCATATGTACACCTTAAGTAATAACAAATATAATAATTGGTCAGATGTTTATGCAAGTATTGCATGCGAAATTCGTTTGACTGTGGCCAGAATGTATGTACGTATGCATCGCGAATAAAACAGTATAAAGTGTATATATAATGAATAGTATAAATAATTGGAATATGCTATTAAATCGCGAAAAACTTGTAAAATCCATATTCTGAATCCATAGTCCGAATTACTTCATTCGTCACTAATTAAGGTGTGTGTGTATATATATTCTCAAAGGTGACGCGACCTTTCGAACTCAACGTTGAATAATTAATACCCTATCATTTCCTCGTAGCTCGATACTCCTAAGTAGGCTCGAATAAAATACTCCTTTCGGAAGAATACAACTCTCCACGTAAAAAAATAAACGAGCCATGGTTTCGTGTTACAGAGGGAAAGTGTATGGCTACATCCTACGACTGCAAGTTCATCGAGACGTCCGTTGGGTTCAATCACAACGTCGACGAGCTTCTGGTAGGCTTGCTCACGCAGATACGCTTGAAGCTCGAGAATCCTGAGAGAACGAGGGACCTCTTTCGGAAGAGGTCGCGAAAGAATCGTAGCAAATCGCCGTTAGGATCGTGCTCTGAGAATAATTCGCCGAAAAAGTATCGCGGTAGCCGTACGAGTACAAGTCTGAAGGTACGAAATTTATTGGGTAAGGTGTGGGCGAGGGACAGCAAGTCCAAGAGTTGCGAGAATTTACACGTTCTATAAAAATCGTCCGTCTTCGCATCCATTCTCTATGCTTTCAACCCTTTCTACCTGATCATCATTACCTATTTGGATTCTATTCGTTTCAGAAAGTAGTCGTATTAAACTAGGGTTGGCTAGGAAAGAACAATTTGTCCCATGATGTTCATTTTCTTTAACATATGTTCCTGTGAGTCTCAGTTGTAAGTTGGCCACCAGATACATTTACTGGGACGTATACGTCCCAGTAGGGTCGAAAGGGTTATACCTTGCCTTCCACCCTCTTGCTGTAAACACATCTTCCCCTCCTCTCTTGTGTCGTTTTCTCGTCTGTCGCCACCTCGTTCGCGTGTGCTCGTTTCTGTTCGCAATTTTCGCCACCTCGCTTCGTTTTGTTGGTCCGTTCGGTCGCGTGAACGACTACTTTGGATTTCACATCGCAGAAGCATTAGGGGCGCAAACACGGTATTGTCACGTCATGAGAACGCACGAAACCTCCGACCCATGAAATCACTTACTTGCGCCGGAGATTTATGAACGAATGCGCTTAGTTACGCGACTCGTTCAAAGTTAAAGCTAATAATAGAACTGAGAACGTTACTTTACTATTTATATTATTAAATTATTTAGATTAATTCAGAGTTAAGCTCCTTTCACTGATTTAATTTAAACACTCTCGCACTGAAAATGGTCAAGTGAACAGAATTTAAAAAAAGTAATTTTGTGTCTGCTGTGCATTGCGAATTATTTGATTTGAGACGAAGAGGTTACAAGAGGAGTACAAAAGTACTTTGTATTACTTTTTTTTTTTTTAAGTAAAATTGACGTATTGACGATCACTACGTGTGCTCACGTGACGTGCCAACAATATTTCCTTCTTTATCTTCTCCTTCACCGAATCACCAACCATACTACTTTGTCGATACCTTTTTGTCGCGATTACCCCCGTCACCATAGCACCGTTCCCCCATTCTGATGATAAACAAGGAACGCGATTAAACTCTTCGTTAGTCAGAACAAGCATATTTTTATTTCAAAGCCTTCGATCGTGGTATTTTGGTCCCCTCCGGCCCCAATCAAAATATAATCTAAGACAAGATACCGAGAAGAGCTACTTTTGCTCATTGGCAATTTAATAAAAACATTGAAATGTAAGGCAACAATTCTCTCCCGTTGATATCTTAAGAAGAATTCCACAAATATGCAAGATATATTTAATTCCAGAAGACCAATCGTTTATTGCTATTCCAATATTCTTATTTACCACCGAAGGAGACCAAGAACACCACGACGCGTGTTTAAAAATAAATTCACGCCTGTCCAGACCGACGAAAGAGGATCTACTTCGACACACAAGCAATTACTCGAGTAATATTTTAAATAACGCGACTTCGTATCGTTTCGTAACGACGACGACCAAAACAAAAACGGCTTAAATAACCGAAAGGATGGAAGGAAACAGACCAGCGGAAACGGATCCGCTGTTGAAAAAACGCGGCAAGCGTTTTCCCAGGCGCCCAAAACGTTTTTACGCACTCTATAATCGCGCACTCGATGATACATCTCCCCTTTCGCTTTTTATTCATCGACCGGAAGCGCGGCGAATATAGAGAGAGATTGCTGAAATACATGGAGTGCAAAACGACGCGCGTGGATCGTTAACGATCGATACGGTACCCGTAAATATCCGAACGAGCACAAGTATATGCATACGCACACGTTTGCAAATACGTAGATCGATTATGCACGTATATACATGTATAATACTAAACTAAATTACACACACTCGAATGCACGTAAACGCGACACGCCCGCTCGCACTTATGCACGCATGCACACTGTACACGCACGCGAGTCGATTTCAATTTTCCGATAGCAGGATGTTTCGCGATACCAGACATTCTCGTCGTTGTACGCATATAATTGCGCACGTCTCGTACACGTTTCGACGTTCTTTTCTATTTAACGTAAGAGAATTTACGCGAGAGCAGGCAAGAAACCGGTGCATAGTTAAATACGCGCGCCGAGAGAATGCGTTTTATTTTTGCGGACAAATCTTCTGAAGACATCCACGACCTTTTGGAGAAGCGTAATTAATACTTCCTTAACCGTTTTTAAAAATCAAACTGAAATGTGACCGCCCCCCTTTGATTTTTATCAGGACACGAGACTCTTCCAAGCAATATATATTATACATTTGTAAATTTTACAGAACCTTTATAAATCTTTTCTAAAGTTACGAATTGTTTATAGACGTACAAACTTTTTGTATTTTTATACATCGTTGAAGTTTACAAATTTGTTGGACATCCATGAATTTTGTCGTGAAATTATAAACCTGTTATACACCCACGAATTTGTTGCAACATGGATCCCCTTAGCTATAAATTTATAAACCCACGAACTCGTTATACAACCAGAATCTTGTTATAAATTTGTTATATATGCCCATAAATTTGTTGTAAACTTATAAATTTGTTATAAATCCACATATATATGTATATAAATATATTCTACAAATTCGTTGTGAATTTATAAACTTTACAAGTGTTTTGTAAGTTTATCGACTCGATACTCGGTAACTTTCTAATTTTTCATAATTAAGAAATAAAAGTTTTACGATGCTCTGCGATAGTACTAATATAGAATTATTAAGTCATGCGAATGCGGACGCTATTGGAACTTAGATCAGATGCTCGGCAGTTTTTAACATGATCGCTGCAACAACCCACGGTCGTCGCTTAATGCATTCTCTCGGCGCACTTAATGTATTTACGTTCCATGATACGATGAAGTGAATCTAATCAGAATCACGTGATTGCACATCTTGAAAGCAGGAAGCTATTCCCCAATTGCGTATAAACAATAAATTTAACACAAATATTTATTCCTAAAAAGCAATCGTGTTTCCAACACAAAACGAACTGCGAACTTTATGCATTTATGATATAAACTAATATAACAAACACGTACTAAACGTAACCAAAAAGTATGCGCACCAACGTAAAGTGAAATAACAATGTTATTATAGTGACTGTATAAATTATGTATACTTCATGCATGTTTTCTATACTATTGTACGTCATAAATGCATAAAATTCGCAGTCCAGCCATTACTCTGTTAATTTCGATTTATTCTTAACCAGCAAGAATGGTTTCACGTGGTGCATTATTCATTCGAATAATGAACTATCGGCGATCTATACAGGGTGTCCCAAAACTCGGGGAGGAGGCGGAAATGGGGGGTAGCTGAGATGATTCTGAACAACAATTTCCT